AGTTGTCTTTTTCTCCTAAATATTTGTAAGTTGTCTGATTCATTAATTCTTCATAGACTGAGTCAAATAAAGCGAATATACAGTTTTTAAACCCATCAGCCATGTTTTGTGTCGAAGTCGTTATTTTCGGCTCAGTGATTGGCTGATAAATACAATTGAAATGGAATCAGCCGTTGGTCGAAGCAGCCGTGTGTGGAGAGGTTGCGTGACGCGTGACCGAAACTAAACACGGCTGCGAGGAGACTAACTCGTGATGCAAGCGGCGTATTAACTAATATCAGTGTGAAACAAGCATAAAAAAGTCCACATAAATAAGTTATGCGGCTAAGGTAGTAGTCTTCAAGTATTTTACGGGTTAAGTGTAATGATAGAAGGCTCCTCTGTAGTAGAATGAAATAATACTACAAACAACGACGAAGTCACTTGAAACATGATTCGAACAGTGATTAGATGCAGTCTTACCGCTCTGCCGCGCGCAAAATGAGATAAATGTATTAAAGTCAAATTTAAACAACGAAAACTCATTAATTTTTAGTATCTGGAATTGGAAAGGTTGATTTGAGAGCGCATTAAACGCTTTTAAGCTGATTTAATGCGCTCTCAAATCAACCTTTCCAATTCCAGATACTAAAAATTGTCGTCAAGGTGTAGTTGTCCGATAGCCAGGAAGAAAACTATGCCAGCTAAAGACCCCTTGCATGTGACGTCAAATTGAATACATTTTTTTTTGAGGTTTTGATATTTAGCGGAAACAATCATTGTCTGCCAGATTGAGATGTATTACCATAAACTGCAAGGCGGCACTGGAAAGGGATGAAAGTAACCATGTCATTCAACTTTCATTTCGGCAGAACATTACGTCTATAATTAATAATGGCTTCGTTGTATTTAAATTATTATTTCGTGCTTTTGCTCGATGTACTTTTTTGGTCACGTGCTGGATATCCTAGCCCTTGTAATAGGCCTGCAAACAGGTCTGTGAATGAAAAGTTTGTACATGAAGTATATCGACTATGTTGAAATTGTATCATAGTTATGACAAATTCGTTGACTTGTTTACGGGAAGCAGTGAGTTTTGAGAGGACAAATTTTGCACTCTAATGTTCAATAAGGATGTAGTTCGTTATAGCGCTAACAAATTGAAGGTAAACAGCAAATATTAAAAGACGATCTATTTCCTTAAACTAACTGTCGCTCTATATTTCCTTTTTAAAGATTCACATCCTGTAAACAAGTTGACAAGGAAGGCTCTTTTAACTATTAACAAATTGAATTCAGCCGCAAGTTCAATCACAGAACTATTTACATAGTTCAATCATAGAACTATTTCATAACGTACACGCCTTGTCAGTGTCGTGCAGTTTATGGGAATGCATCTCCATTTTGGATAGAAGAAATGGTCGGATGTTGAGACCTGGAATTCCTCAGTTGGTTTCTGACCTTCATATTTAGCTGCCCTTTTTGAGATAAATTATTAATCTCTCGACGAAATTGACACTCAATTTTGACATGTGTTTCCCGTCTGAGTGAATTAATGGAGGAGTGTAAACATTACATTGTAATATTATGCTTATTTTACTGAAAAAATATACATTCATATTTTATGTGCAGTATTTCTT